CAGATACCCGGGAGTGAGTTACAGACTGGAATCTATTCGAGGGGCTCGGGGTGGTTTATATATAGAATAACAGATACCCGGGAGGGAGTTACAGGGAGGGAGTGCACTTAATGCGATATCATGCATTAACGCCGCTGCATTGAACCGTATGTTTATGAAGCTTGTAAAACCTGTATTTTGAATGCCACGGGAACCCAGTTTCACGAGGTTTGAGGCTAGAAGGAGTCCTGTTTAAACGCTGGAAAAGGGCCGAATGCAGAATGAAAAGTTGAGGCATTTGTTGCGGGGTTTTTTGAGTGACGAAGGGATGGTGTGCTGTTGTCCCTCCAGCTGTACATTGGCAGGCGCCTGGCCCATTCTTTCCTAACCCTCCCTGACCAAGTTTCCCAGCAGCTGACCTGACTGAGAGAGGTAGACGGGATGTGTAGAACTCGGGGGGTCCTGTCCATTCTCAGGGGAAATGCTGGCAGTGGGAAGCGGATGGAGAGTGCGATGGTCCTTTTCCCTTACCCAGCTCACCCTGCCTCTCTTTCCCCATGGAACCGAAATGTCCCTGACCTCCTCCAGCCCCGCATCCCTGCAGTACCTTCAAGCATCGGCCCCCTTGTGACAGCTCGCCTCTCCCAGGTGATCTGAATTGCCCCGGGGTGGGGAGAGCTGACCGTAGATTCTCTCTCCCATTACAGAACTACATGTTAGACAGCTTTCTCTCTCTCTCATGCAAACACATACACAGGCTGCAAAAGAGCAGCGCTCAGTGCTCAGAGAACTGGAACCTTAGCTGCACAGTGTAGACGGCAGGGCGGATATATGCCAGTCCCTATAGCCCTATAGCACCAGCTTTCTGACTGCCTGCTTTCTCAGCTACAACAGGACAGTGTTCCCCCACCTCCTGTGCAGGGCAGGGCTTGGGACGGGTACCTGCCTCCGTCTCACCTGATACCTGCCTCCCAGCCGCCTTCTATAAAAAGCTCACCCATTCCAAAGTTCCATCTCCCTCCGTCCTTCCCTTCCTCCCACTTGTCCTCGATTTCCAAAACTCAAAGGTTGTGGAGGTAGTGGATTTGACAGACGCACGCACTCACAGATAGACACACATTATACACACACACACACACACAAAGACAGAGCATGGCTTCATTGAGAAGAGCTTTCACGCCGTTTCTCATCCAGGACATCTTGTCGCTTCAGGAAACTTCGCCAGGCAGCTTTCCCAGGGGATTCCGTGGGAGCAGGGAGGAGGCAGGACAGGGCAGCGTCCTCCAGCCCAACGCGGAGCCCCTCTCCCACAGCGGCCTGGAGCTGGGATTCACAGGTCAGGCTCTGGGGAGGACAGGTAGGTGACGGGTGGGGGGCGGACAGGGACACTGCGCTCAGACCTCAGGTCGCATCGCTCCATCCCCGGTGCTCTTAGGCCGAGTCAGTGCAAGGCGAATTCAGGATATCTATCCAAATTCTGTTCACATTAGACCCCAGCCCTAAGTCAATCATGTCCCTACCCTGGGGGGACAGAACCTAGCCTCTGTCTGTGTCTGTGTGTACGGTTTTTTTTTGTTTCTTTCGCATCTCCAAAGTTTGTCCCGGGCCCTCTGTTAAAATGTTGTGGTGTTGAGTCAGTGGCTGGGTCAGGCAGGGCTGGGGACTGGGGCCTGAGGGATGGGGGGGCAGAGGATATAATCTCAGAGTAACGGATCACCCATTCTGGACAAAAAGCAGGAAGTTTTTGTTTTCTCTCTGCCGTGAAGTGAAACTGACCACAAGAGTGCTGCATGGGCTGCATTGTTCAGTATAATCAAGTCTGAGAGAAACAGATTTTTAATCAGCAAGGCTTATAAGGATGTTGTCAGAATGGAGGGTATGAGCTAAAGGGAGGGGTTGGATAGGCTGGGGCTATTTTCCCTGGAGCATTGGAGGCTGAGGGATGACCTTATAGACGTTTATAAAATCATGAGGGTCAAGGTTAGGGTGAATAGCCAAGGTCTTCTTCCCTCCGTGTGGGAGTGCAAAACTCGACTGCACAGGTTTTCCGGTGAGAGGTGAAAGATTTAAAAGGGACCTGAGCGGTAACTTTTTCACACAGAGGGTGGTGTGTGTGGAATGAGCTGCCAGAGGAAGTGGTGCATGCAGGTACAGTTACAACATTTAAAAGGCATTTGGACAGGTACATGAATAGGAAAGGTTCAGAGGGATATGGGCCAAATGCAGGCAAGTGGGAATACTTTAGTTTGGGAAACCTAGTCAGCATGGATAAGATGGACCAAGGAGTTTGTTTTCAAGCTGTATGACCCCACGACTCTCAGACCAGGTCAGAGGGAACATGTGAGAACAGAGGTAGCTTTGAGGGAAAGATCTTAGATTCTGAGAGCCTCGTCCTAACCATTATTCTGACCCTACCCGTTACCCTCACCCTAGGGCTGAGGATGGTGTGTTTGCTCTCAGACAAGGGAATCACTGCCTGAAAATGAGGGCTGAGCCATTCAGAACAGCCAGGAGGACAGAGTGTTTTATTCTCATCTCCAGGAGGCTACTGAGCTCTCTCTGGGAAAAGGCTCGGAAGGCAGGGGCTCTGGCGATGATGAAGACAGAGATGCCGAGGTTCTGGTGACACAAGGGGCAGCTTGGCTGGTTGAGCAGGCTGCAGGGGGGAGCAGGTGACTGTGACTATGACCCCAAGCACAGGGTGGCCCAGCCTGCTACTGATGTTTGCTGACTCCTCAGCCCAGAGCCATCACGGACTAGACTGGCAGAATGTTCTCCTTCTGGGCCATTTATTCCATGGTTTGAGAAATCATTGGGAATATTCCCATAGAAATGCTGAGATTTGCAGTGTGTTCTGCAGGTTGAAGCTCCAGAAGCTGGAATCACCTCTGGAGCAGTGTGGGCTCCCTCAAACTGGGGGGGGTCATTGTCCCCCTCTCAGACTACACCCAGCCTCTCTCGCTGTTAGACTAGTGCATTCCCAGGGGTCTCCAAGAATCTGCACCAAGCCTGCAGTGCTGCAAGCCCACACCACACATCTCAGACTGACTGCAACCCAACAGTGGAACACAAATCAGAACGATGTTGACTGTCCTCACACTACCTGGACTTTCAATGGCAGCATACAGACCTTGTGATGGGACTGGACCCAGAATGTTCACAATGTATGTGACTGACCAATGAGAGAGTCATCAAGGGACAGGGGTGACACAAGGAGGAGGGACAGTAGCTGCGAGGGATGATATAGAACTGATATAGATGGGGATACAAGGAAGTGAAAGAGTGAGGATCTGGCGTCCCAGAGTGGGTGAGCGTGAGGAGCTGGAGTCCCAGAGTGGGTGAGCGTGAGGAGCTGGAGTCCCAGAGTGGGTGAGCGTGAGGAGCTGGCGTCCCAGAGTGGGTGAGCGTGAGGAGCTGGCGTCCCAGAGTGGGTGAGCGTGAGGAGCTGGCGTCCGGGAGTGGGCGAGCATGAGGAGCTGGCGTCCGGGAGTGGGTGAGCATGAGGAGCTGGAGTCCCAGAGTGGGTGAGCGTGAGGAGATAGTGTGTGTCAATGGGAGAGCGTGTGGAGATGGTGTGTGTCAATGGGAGAGCGAGTGGAGATGGTGTGTGTCAATGGGAGAGCGAGTGGAGATGGTGTGTGTCAATAGGTGAGCGAGTGGAGGTTGTTTATTTGGCTATGATAAGAGAGGAGCTAATGTATGGAAGTATGAGGGAGTGAGATGTTAGTGCCATCAGATTTCTCCTTTAAGCCAGTCTGTGTGTCTCCACGTCCTTCGCTTTGGGATTTCTGTCTATTCCTCATGCTCTCCTTTTTTTGCGGCCCCTGCAGATTCCACCCAGTTGAGCAGTGCCAGCCATGAGAGGACAATGGTCACACCCAGGGCTCTGAGAAGCCCCAGGAAGAAGCGTTCCCGAGCTGCTTTCTCACATTCCCAGGTGCTGGAATTGGAACGGAGGTTCGACACTCAGAGGTACCTGTCAGCCCCAGAGAGGGCTGACCTGGCCACTGCCCTGAAGCTAACAGAGACCCAGGTGAAAATCTGGTTCCAGAACCGCAGGTACAAGACCAAAAGGAAGATGCTGGCTGCCAGGCAGAACTGTGCTGTGGTGAAGGAGCAGGCAGCTCCAAGAGAAGGGAGCTCCCAAGTACCCATACTGTCTCCCTACCCAAGCTACCGCTATTACCCTTACTTCTACTGCCTAGCATCTGTCCCAGCAACTGTCTGCTGACCTCCTGATGGCCATTAGCCTGAAAGGACTCTGCACTTTATTTATTTCATCAGCGGTGGCTGCAATCAGTTTTTTTTCACTTCACAGGTAAATGGGTGCAAAATTCCACCAGCCCTGGTCCATTCCTCCCATCTCTTTTGGCATCAAGGTGAATAAAACTGACAGTCAATATTTTCTCTGCTACTTTTATAAAATAAAGCAACCCCTTTTTTATTGCCATTCTTGCCCCAGTGTGTTTAATTCTAATGCCTGTTGGTGAGTAACACCAGGGACCTACATCATGCGCTCTTTAATAATTCCTGCAGAGGAGGCTCATCACAGGGCAGGATCAAGACCCATAACCCAGAGCCCTTGCAATTCTGCATGGATCTTCACACCCAGGACAAGTTGGCAATCTGCTCCCTGCAACCAGTGGCTTGTAACTGAACCAGAACAGATCTCAGAACAGAGTTATACTGAAACATTATCATCAGCTTGTGCAAACTCTTCTGTGGAAAGGCCCAATGAGCAGCAATAATATGTGCAAGACAGCAAACTGATCTCATCAAGGGATTCAGATGGTTTATATAGAGAATAATAGATCCTGGGAGGGAATTATAGACTGAAATGTAATTGAGAGCTTCAGATGATATATACATATAGAATAAGAGATACCCAAGAGTAAGTTACAGACTGAAATCTGATCGAGGTTCAGATGCTTTATGTATAGAGTAATAGGTACCCTGGACACACCGGACTGAGTGAGTTACTCAGTGTGGAATCTAATTGAGGGGTTCAGATGGCTTATATATGGAATAACAGATACCCTGAACTGAGTGAGTTACAGACTGGAATCTAATCGAGGAGTTCACATGGTTTATATATAGAATAACAGATACCCGGAAGTGAGCTACAGACTGGAAGCTGATCAAGGGGTTCAGGTGGTTTATATAATCGAACAACAGATTCCTGGGAGTGGTCTATATATGGAATTTAAATCCCTGGTTTGGCTGATTTTAATGTAGAAGATAAGTTGAAATTCTTGTGTTAATTCTGTTTCAAGGAGTGTTCTTGGGAGTTGCGCGTTCCAGACTTCAGCTCTGATGAGATTCTGTCTCTGCTAGCCTGTTGCGACCCTATATCAAGAGCCTGGTCATTCAGATGATCCTGCTCAGCAATTCCATCAGAAATTGTGACTTCAGTGGAGTGAGGTCGAAAAGTGAGTAGCAGGATTCACAAACAGGTGAATAAAAATATCCGGGTCCCAGGTCCACACCCCAATTGTTCAGGTCACAAAAAGACAGGTTGCCTGCAACTTTTAAAGGTGACACCTGAATTAAAACAGGTCAAAGGACCAAGGGTAGCTCAAACACAATGACTTTCTTTCCGTGAAAAATCCCAGGAACCATCATATAGCACCTACAAATCACCCGATCCCGTCTTCAAAAATCACAACATTGTTATTGTGCAGGAGACCATTCAGCCCATTGTATCTCCAGCAGGCACTGAATTAGCATCATCACACAACGCTCTTCTCACCACTTTCCCGTCCATTTCTGTTTTGATCATTGCCAACTGCCCTCCTGAATGTTCCACCACACCTACAGGGAGTGTATTTGAGACCCACGTACCAATGTCTGGATTGAACAATGCTAACATCTCTTTGTAAGCTCGTCAAGGTGTCTGACTGAGAAATGCAGTCACGTGGATGGTCATTGAGGGAGAGGGGCAGCTCAGGGGACATTATGAAGGGGAAGAGGCTGAGAGGTTGCTTCCCCTTGTGCAAGAGTCGAGGACCAGAGGCATCACCTCAGAGTAAGAGGTCACCCATTTAAAACAGAGCTGAGGAGGCATTTCTTCTCTCAGAGAAGAATGAATCTTTGGGGTTCTTTACCACAGAGGGCTAATGATGCTGGAGAGTTAAGTCATTAACTGGATCATCAAGGTTCAAAGAGACAGATTTTTAACCAGGAAGAGCATCAAGGGTTGGGGGTTGAAGGCAGGAAAGCAGCGACGAGGATGATCAGATCAGCCACGATCTCATTGAAAGATGGAGCAGACTCCAGGGTTGAATGGCCTACTTCAGCTCCTCTGTCTTCTGCTCTTACTGAGACTTAGGGGGAGCTAGGTAAACAAATAAATGAGAGAGATAGCAGAAGAAATGCTGACACATGTGTGAGACAAAGTCAGCGGCAGACTTGCATTGAATGGTCCCTTTCAAGGACTGTCCTGAGTGCTCCCGGCCAAATCAACTCCTTGAGAAGGCCAGTCACTGTTAGAAAGTGGACAGCACAGACCCCAGCAGTAATCAGCCGGGTTGAATGGCCTGCAGCTGCCTTGGAAGATGGCTGTCGCTTTATCCAGACAAGCTCTGGGCGAATCCTTGCTGAGTGAATGTGTGCAAGGTGAGTTGAGACAGACTGCACACTGATAAGGTGATCAAACAGCTGTCGGAGCTCTCCAGAAGAGATTCACCTGACCTTGTACTGCCTGGTACCATCACAGCACAAAAGGGGCAGTGAACGCCAAGGGCGACACACACACACACACACACACACCAGCTGAGGAGGGGGGGGGGGGGGGGGAAGGGTGGTGCTGCGGGGGACTGGCTCTGGGTGCAGTCTAACAGAATGCCACTGTGGCCTTGCTGTAGACTGCCGTGATTCAGCAGTTATTAACAGAAGCTTCTCAACCTTGTTCAATGAGCCAGTCAGTGAGCTCCTAAGGCCTGTCCAAACAAACAGACGGGTCTCCACTCTTTAAACGCCTATTACGGCAAATAGTGTTTCAAAGTAAACACGGTTGATGTGGTAAAACTTAAGCTGAGCCATCCCCACAATGGCCCATTAGTCTGTTATCACAAATCGATTGAGAAAATACATCAGGAGATGTTCAGCCAAGCTCATGGAAAGCTTATAGAGATTTAGAAACGGTGCTGGGGGGAGAAAGGCACATTCAGACCTCACACCGCCTCACTCTGGTGGCAACTGGTACTGCAATTTCCAACCTCTAGCAGCACTCTCACATGCAGAACAACAATGTGCTGCATTGGCATAGCGCCCCATTTTCACAAAGACACAATGCCCCCAAGTGCTTTGCCAAGCCAATCAAGAACTCAATCGCAAATGAAGCTGCCAGCTCTGGCACAGCAGGCTCCCACAAATCATCAGGAGTGAGTCGCCTACTCCAGTGGTTAGCAGGTGGAGGTTGGCCAGAGAACAGGCAGGGGCCAGATTCCTGTCCCCTCCCCCCTCCCTCCAAACTCAGCTTCAGTACCCTTCTCCTCTCAGGATTAGTAGCCCAACAACTGGCCGCTTGACCAAATCTCCAAGCATCCAAAGATCCGTGTGTTTTAAATATTAGAATCCCCTCTGCCAGTGTCTTCTTGCCACATAGGAGCCTTGGACAAAGCACCATGTTATTCCAAAGAAAGAAGTCACTTCCAGTGTGTTGTCATGGTACCCCGTCAACCAGGAGGAAACTCTTACGTGCGGATGTTGACATTTTACATATTAGCCCAGTCTCTGGAAAGCTCAACACAGAATTGACAAGAACTCTGTGTATGCAGAGCAACAAATCAGCTGGCAATACAAGGAGCTTCCTTCCCTGATAAATGCACACAATCGAATAGGTTTATTCCAGAATATATTGACACACAAATGCCCTTTAGGGTGTCCCGCTTCTTTGAAAAAAAATCTGCCCAATTTACCCCCACATGCCAACTTGTCACCCATCAGCCTGCCAACTAGCTCTTCTCAAGGCCAGGTCCCACAGCCTTTGCAAAGTTTGGATGGAATTTCTTTTTCTGCTCACTGGTCCTGCACTTTCCCACCAGAGTGTGTGTGACAGTGTGAGTAAGTGTATGAGTGTGCGTGTACAGAAATTATCCCTGATCCCCGCTCTCCCCGCTCTTGTACTGATGATTTGAAATCTGGATTGCCCACTTTGCTTGGCAGAGCAAATGCCTGTTGCACTCTCCCTTGAACATTGAATTGTCTTGCTGAGAGTAGACAAATCTTCTGCAATCTCGCCACACAACTGCTGACAAAACACGGAAAATTGGAGCAGGGCAGGCCATTCAGCCTATCCAGCCGACTCCACCATTCAGTGTGACCATGGCTGATCCTCAATTCAATGCCGTACTCCCCTCGATCTCCATAACTTGTTGAAAAGTTCAAGGTTTACATGTTGAATGAGGCAAGAGAAGACTTACACTGAGTAACAAGGGTTTTATTGTAAATCTATAATTTAGCAAAAGAAACAGTTTTCACCTTTCCCTTCTGAAATCCTTCCTTGTCCAGAAGCCAACTGTTAAATAGGAAGTCCCAAACACTTCGTCTTTCTCAACTATGAAGCTGTTCTGGTTGACTCTTCAATGAGTGTGTAGTTCTGGCATTGACACTTTCTGCGTGAAGAAATTTCTCACCCTCTCAGTCCAAAACAGTTTACCCTACATTTTGAGATAGTGACCCCTTGCCTGAATTAAGTCATCCAACATGCACTCTGCCAGGGTAACATGATCATTGCATTCACTTTGTCCAACCGTGTCAACATTTTTGTTGTTACAATGAGATTTCCTCTCCTTAGGATAGGTGATGGCCCAGTGATATATCACAAGATGATTAATCCAGAGATCTAGGTAATGTTCTAATGTCCTGGGTTCGACTCTCACCATAGCAGATGGTGGAATTTGAATTCAACAATAATTGGGAAATAAGAGTACAATGATGACCATGAATCCATTGCTGATTATCAAGAAAAACCCATCTGGTTCACAAATGTTATTCAGGGAAGGATACTGCCATCCTTACCTGGCCTGACTCCAGACCCACAGCAATATGGTTGACTCTGAATTATCCGCTCAGCAATTGGGATTGGGCATCAAATGTTGGCAGAGCCAGTGATCCCTCATCCCGTGAATAAATACAATTTATACATTCTTTTAAACTCCCGTGAATTATTGGCATAGTCAACCACCGTCTGTTCATATGACACACCTGACATCCCAGTAGTCAGTCTGATGAACATCTGTAACACTCCACTCATAACAAGTAAACCTTTTCCTCGGTGAGAGACCAAAACTGCATGCAATACACTAGGTATGGTGTTGTCAGGGCCCTGTACAGCCGCAGTAAGACCTCCTTGGCACTGGGCTCAGACTCTCACAAGGAAGGACAACATACTATTGCCTTCCAAACTGCTTGCTGAACCTGCATGCTTGCTTTCAGTGACAAGTATAC